AAAACTAAGGCCTATATATAGGATCTCCCATGATTTGTAGTTGGATATGATTTTTATCCAACGAATTGTGTGTTTTTTTTATCCCCGAGCCTTGGCGAGGTGATAAAAACACACAACGAGTTGGATTAAAATCATATCCAACTACAAATCATGGGAGATTCTTTTTATCCCATGTTTAATACTTCACAACCAATGTTTTACACTGTTTATATAGGACTCCACTTTATTTTACTTCATCGCGCTAACGCAAAAACCATTGTGACGTCACAACTGTGGATTATGAAAAATTTATCCAATGAGTCATATCCACGGGATAAAGGGGTAAACATGGGATAAATACTAATTCTTCAGTGTGTTTGATAAAAAGAAATGGTGTTATGAATGTTGAATTGCTAGCAACGCTCCCGTCCCGTTCGATTCAGTACGATATACAGAGATGCAGAATCGGCTTTAAAAAGTTTAGGGAGGTGGGTAAAAAGGTATCAAATTAAGACAATTTTAGGACAGAAAAATTCGACGAGAACAAAAAATTTTTTGGAAATAAAGTATATTATTATCATTCAAAAACATGCATTAGTAAAGGGAAGAAAATAGTTTCTCTCTCTGTTTTATTCAGTCTTTTACATTAAAATATTTTGGGGTGAAGTCTCCTCAGAGACCCCCTTTTAATCCGCGCCAGGTGTGCCTACGGCTCTCTGAATTGGATAGCATAGACGTTTTTCATACTAATTGTTAGGCCATTATTTACACACTGAATTGTCGACGGATTTTTCCGTTATTTCCCGATCATGACAAGGAGCACACGGCGGGTGTGACCGGTCGGCAGGGGATGCTCACTCCTCCATGGCACCTGATCCCACCTCTGATGTTTGGAGGTCCGTGTTTGCTCTGCTCTTATTTTGTATTGTATAATGGACTTTTGAGCTTGAATACTGTTCGTTATCTCCATATATTTCATAGATATTATACATTAAAATTAAGGATTACATGATTATTTTTTAAAGAATTAAAAAAAAAAGAATAAAAAAAACCCTTAATTTTTTCTAAACATATTTGGTAAATTTAATTTTCTTGGCTCTAAACAAAATTGATCTAAAAGTATTCCTTATTTTTCCCCTTGTTGGGGTGGGGGGGGGGGGTAATCTTAAATGATATTGTTTCACACGTACCTAAAAGAGGACCCCCCAGGCATTATATTGTCTATGAAACATTCAATAATAAATTCAAATTTCATTCCTTATTGGATGACATATGTATAGATATATTGTTTGATAATTATTTTTATCGTTCCTTAATATATTAGTTTACATATAAATTATAAAATTTGTATCATATATTGGTACAGGTATGTCAAATTGCTCAACGATCAAAGAAAAGAGAGAGGTAATACGCAGAGAACAAAAGAGAAAATGGAAACAAAAACAAAAATTATTGAGACCAGCAAAGGAGTTGTCTCAATCTATAGCTGCTGTAAAGAAGAGGCAGCAGAGAGAGAGGCTTGCTCGGAAAAAAGACAAAAAGCTACAGAAAGAAAGCGGAAAAGTAGGGCAGCCCTTAAGAGGCAGAAACACTCTCAGATTTTATTACTGAAGGAATAGTGTTTGCTGTTCTGTGCACAGGGGATGACGACAATGACTTTTACCTTTTACAAGCCACATCAAATTAAAGAGCAAAACTCTACGGAAAGCCAAAACAGACAAGTGGGGTGGATCGTTTGTTGCAGGGTCAACAGTCATCCACGGAAAATATTTTGCTAAAAAGGAAAACTCAATCTTGGACTATAAGCTAATAAATCGCCCAGTAGCCATGGTTCCAAGTGCATCTGTACTGTTTATATGCCAAAATGTATCTATACAAAAAAAATTCTTCACCTAACCGAAGAGGAAAATGAAGATATCCTGGAATGCGTCGATTTGTGCGTGTTAACACACTAAATTGATATTAAATGGCGTCTGAATATTTTTTTTAGAATTGATTTTAAACCTGCATTTTTAACAAATTTAAAGAAAGTTAATATGGTAAAGAACACTTTTGCCTGTTTTTGACATGAACGTTTTTCACGCTACATAATAAACATATTCACTCATTAAACTTCCAGTTTCTTTTCATTTTATTTTATTTTTTTTACTTTTAACAAAGAAATGGATTTAAGGGAACTCTAAATTCTAATGAAAACTTTTTTTTTACTTTAAGATCTTTTATATAAACGTGTAGATACTTCAATTTCAACAAGGGTACTAGTACCTAGCTACAACATTCACCAAGAAAAAATATATACATAATGTAAAGATGTTTAAAGAAAATGAAGTATTCGCTCATGTTTACGTACATGCAAATAATGTATTCAGGTTTTTTTGGTCAATATTACTTTCATTTTATTTCAAATTGTGTCATTTACTGAAGATTTCCATTTATTCCAACTTACATAAAAGGGCAGATCACTTTAACTTCATAAAACATATGGAGTTAGAACTCTTCAGTATGCATTTAAACCTTTATAAAGTTTTACTAAGTCGCTGATTGATATGAGTAATTTTTACGTCTCGTTTACGTGACGTTAAACGTCACTTATAACGTTACCAAATGTGACACCAACACCGTGCCTAACAATTAAACAAGTAAATGACATTGCTCATTTCAACAATAATATTGTACTATTTCAGTTGAAGGGAATACTATATATAAAAGTGTATGGCTACTACAACATGTTATCATTTATGAATTTGCCTACTGAATTAAGAGTTTCTTTGTCTTCGGTATTGAGTAACCAAAAAAGTTTTACTTTATCATCTTATGTCGATAAATTTGGAAATTTACTTTTAATTGACTGAAAAATTTCTTTTCTTTGATGATCATATTTTTTACATGTTATCAAAAAATGAGTTTCATCATCTACAGTGTTAGAATTACATCTATTGCATAATCGATCTTCTCGAGGGATGTTGGTAAATAAAAAATTATTCTCCCCACTTCAATTTGCAATCTGTGACAAGAAATTCTTAATTTACATAGAGATTTTCTGTGATGAAAATTTTTAACTATTGATAAATAATTCTCATAACCCCAATTTTGTTTGAGTTTTACATATGTGCTTAATTTACCATCGGTATAACTTTGTTGACTTGTACACCAATTTTTTACATAATAATCTAATAAGGTTTTATGACAGAGTGACTTAAATTTATGCTTCACATAACAAATTACTTCATCTTTGATATTCAGTATATGTCTTAATTTTTATATAAATGCGAACCATGAGTTTTTGCCATGTACAAAAAGTTTTTTACTACATTCATATGCATCTTTAAGTAAAGGAAATTCTGTGGACAAATTTTCAAATCTATACCAACTTTTGATTTACAATATGACAATATCATAATGCAGGGGGGAACCTTCCCAATTCAGACAATACTGCAAAATTTTACTTTTCTTATGAACACCAAGAATATATATTTACAGAATTTATGGTGTATTCTTTCACAAAGTAGATTTCTGAAACAGTCTTCAACTTCTAACTTTTGGCATTTTTGGAATCTTTTAGTAATTGATATTACTTGCACCCCACACCTCTGCATTATACAAAAGAATTGGTTTAATAGTAGAGTCAAATACATGTATACTCGTTTTAATCCCAGGATTCAAATTAATAAAATCATTTCTCAATTTATAATATGCTTTTAACACCTTTTTATAAAGCTCTGATCTTGCTACATGAAAACTTCCAGATACAGTTAGGTGGACTCCAAGATATTTGTAGCTAGATACACCTGCAGTCTATCCTATTATTTTGAAACATTAGTTTTTGCGTAAAATTACGACCAGCTTTATTAAAGATCGTGACTTTAGTTTTTGAATGTTTACCTTTAAACACCAATCAGAGCAATACTTTTCAAGTTTAGAAAGTCTTGCTTGTATACCTTTAGCTGATGATGATAAAATAACAATGTCATCACAAGAACAACGAGGTCGTGATTACAGCTGAATTAGCCCTATTACAGCTATATATGGCGTACTTGAGCTAAAAAAGTAAATGAATAAATAAAAATAAGCGATTGAGTGTAGATAAACATGATATATGTTATTTACGTTCAAATTAAAATTTTCACCGATTTTTGAACTTGAATAACCTCATGTTTCCTTAGTTAAATTGACTCTAAACTGTGTCTGTTATTTAAATGCAGAGTCGGTAAATATATCGGTTAAATTGTAATTAATACATGTATCTTGGAAACGTGATTGATTTAAATTGTGTACAATGTAATTTACAGGAAAGTCCTATCTTTATATAAAGTAATAAAACAAATATAGAAAGATCTTTTTAATTTTAGTTAGCCTGAACTTATAAAAAAAAATACGCCATATATGACTTTAATAAGTAAGCATTATCAAGGTAGCACGGATTCTTTTTTTTTTAATCCTTCGGGGTAGGGTGAGCTAGATTACTCAAGAGTAGAAAGACCCCCCCCCCCTCCCCCCGGAATTTGCAGTTATTAAAAGTATTTATAAACTGATGCAAATAAAAAAGACTTTGCCCCCCCCCCCCCCCGAACGTGAACCCCACCACCACCACCACGAAATAGATTTTTTCAGGTTTGGGTAAGGATTTTAAGGTTTTGAGGGGCTTGTCAAGGGGAGGAGAATCCGATTTTTTAAAATTAATTTATAAAAATCTGTTGAAGAATGCCGCAGGGACAAGATTACCTTGGCGAATGTTGTGATCAATGGACCTCTCGTTGATTTTGAAAGTCCAGTGGAATAGGAAGGAAGGTTCAATCAGGACCTGTACAATCGAGACTAGGTTGGTAAAATACAAAATGAAAGGAAAGATTTTTTTATGTGTCTGGATATTCAGACACGTTTCAGATTTTTTTGATATCGGGTTCAAGATACTAAAAAAAATATTCACATGCAAGGCATGAAAGTTTACTAACAGTAACACCGTAAACACGGTTTACATTACATGATTACTGGTAACTACTCTTTAGTTATGATTAGAGTATTGACATATGTCTAAACAGTCTATGATTAGAGTAAATAATTTACAGAAAGGAAAAATATTCTAGGATGTCTTCGTCCATATTACGTAAGAGTTTACAATTATTTGATGAAGATGAACAACAGGAGCGGAAGGGTAAGTTATAAAGTAATGTAGACCTGTATACTGATGTAATGGTATAGATTTATTTCGCCGCTACTACCAAAAGTTACTTGTATGTGATTTTGTCAGTGTTTATGAACTCTGAAAATCCGAGGGGATTCATAACACCCCCTTGCTTGATCTGCACATGCGTGGCAGCACAATATCACTTCCTAGGTTTGTTGCTGTCTATAGAAATACAACTGTATAATCAATCTCAAAGATGGAGAGGCTTTTCCTTTTAAATCCTGTAATTGTACAAAAATTCATTTTGAGTTTTCTGAAAACCCTACACACTGCACAGGAGTTCCCAATTTTATCAATAAAAATCACTTGATTGACCAAGCCATGAGCTATGCGTTAGAGTGATTTTTATAGATTGCAAACTCCTGTGCACACTGCCATTCTGGGGAGATTTTTTTAAATGTCATTGTAAAGTCGTGTTCTGTTATCAACATAAGAGTTATAGAATAGAATAGGATTTATTACCAAATCAGGGCCCAATGGGCATAAACATATAACATGTATAATTACAGATAGGATAACAGACAGAATACAACATATAATGAAGAGCAATTCTTATAAATTCACACAAATTGCACAGCACATCAACATCTTCACAGTTCATATATTCCATCTTACCAATAAAAAATAACATCTCCTTTCCCCCGTTGCACTTTCTAACACAACCACAAAGAGATTGGACCCTTCTGCAGCTGATAATGATGCTGTATCCAAATCATACATAAAATGCATATACATTAAAGATTTTGAAGTAATTAAGATGACATTGTATATGTTTTAAAACTAATCACAGGATGTCTGAAGGGGAAAAGAAAAGGTTCTTCAAAAGATGTTAGAATGGAGGACTCTTCAAAGCGAGGCATCAAAAAGCGCAAGAAGAAACAACATATCTCTAAAGCCAAGACAAAACTCTCCAAGGAATCAGCTCTAGGTAATGGTATAATAGGAAATAAATCTAAAAACTGATTGATTGCAAATGCATTGTAGGTATATATTTTTCTCAAATGTAATCTCTGAGATACAGTGACAAGAATATGGAAAACAAATTGTGCCTGGGATTCTGCAATTTACTCCTTCGTAATCTGTGTTGTCTCAAAAATTTCCTTTACAAGTCTTGTTATTTCAGCTTCAAGGTTGATTCAATGTAAAAGTATATAAATTTTTTTAGAGACTTACAACAGAAATAAATCCCTGGAATATACTGAGGACTCTCTGTATTATCTCAACATGATTTCAAACATTGGAGGAAAACCAGATCCAAAGACTGTAAATACTGTATGTATCTGTATTTTTGGTACAATATATTTTTTAACAAAGACTACAGAGTAGAAACTACCGGTATATCGTTATAAATGGTACCAGTTTTATTTGACATCAAAAGAAACACGTTGTACATTTATTGACTGGGTTTGAGGGCAACATGCGTTTGTCGGACCCAAGAACCAAACTGTTTGCCTGAGGCTGTTAGGCCGAAGGCAAACAGTTTGGTTCGAGGGGTTGACAAAACGCATTTTGCCTGAGAACACAGTCAATAAATGTTTTGTTATACCTTTTACTTTGTATTTTGACATAACATGATGTAAATTTTGTTTACCCTCACTTTGGGTCAATTCCATAAGGTTCTGTCAAACTCCATCAAATGCACATAAGCTACAAGTGACCCCGCAGACACTGTGACGTAAGCGGTCCAACATTTTGCTCTGAGGTCAAACATCGATTTTTTTTATGACTGCTCAGTAAAACATTGGAAATGTTAGACCTTTTTTAGAATAGAATTATATAGGAAACAATTTTTAAAGGTATAACAATAAATTGTGCTGTTATGTGTTAAGTTGGTTTTCTAAAACCACTTAAAGCACCCCTCCACTTTAAACTCTTATTACATAGTTAAATATAGGTATTTCTTGAACAAGATAAGCCCATTATGACTGTTTTATATTATAGGTGCATATATACCTAATTTAGATAATGATGTACTTCCAGATATTTTATCATGTAAATGAATCACTTTTATCCCATTCAGGATAAATGAACACCAGTATTTTGACAACCTAAAATCTTCTTAAATTAATGATTCTGAAAGCAAAAGATTTACAAGCGCCTTGTTTTAGTAGATTTTGGAACATAACAAGGGGAGGTCATCAAAGAACCTCAAGAAAAAGGAGACCAAACCAGAAGAACAGTCTGTATTCAGTGAAAAGGACTTTGAGGATTTTAGGAAAGAATATTTAAATTCATGACATATACATGTATATCTATCATTATGAGAGTGTTTAAGAAATAAGTATTGACACTGTTTGATACACACATCATTTATCAAATCACAAAACTACATATAATACATGTATGGATTTTTAAAAAAAAATTCTGTGACTTGGCCTGAGAGATTGCTACATTTTGTATTGTAAATTCTAATGAACATTTCTATTAAGATACTTTCATAAATGATGAAGTGAAAAGTCAGTACATTTACATTACTGAATTTGGTTTGGTAAAGACTTCTCTATTATGACCCAATTCTGAATCAAGAATGGATTAAAGGTATATATGACTGATCTATGTGTTTTTCTTAATTTAAAAATGCCCCCAAGAGTGTTAAGTTCAGTCATGATTGGAAATCTGGACCAAAGATAGATATATAGATTTAAATACATGTATATCTTGGTCATCCATGGTCTGAAATCTACAATACTTACATGTATTCTTTTTCTTCCAAAATCCAATCTTTCTGTTGGTTTGTAGAGCCATCAGGAACTTTCTGTACAAGGTGCATTTAGAAAGAAAAATATGATACTTAAATTGTGTATTTTCTACTGATGAACCTTACGGCCATTCCTTCTTAGTAGATTCTTGACCACAGGAACATGACATGAGAATAGTACAGCTACTCTATAAGACACCAAATGTTTCAAAATTTGGTATTTTTTAAGTCATTGATTACCACTGTATTTTATGCACTCTTAATCCAAGATTAGGGAGACTATAGTATTTGGTCTGTCTATTTAAATGTACCAACATTTTTTTCCTCATGACCTTAACCTTGGCCACAACTTCTGAACTCTTGGTGCTAGTTCTAGCATTGTTTGAAGTTATGACCTTGGAGTTTGACCTACTTTTTTAGAGACTTTGACCCTGAGCTGCCATATTGGGGCATCAGTGTTTCACAAACACATAGTTTTCTCAAATTTTTCCATTAACTATGTATTAAATTTATACTTGCTGATTTTGTTACAAATTGAAAATCCTGTACTTACTGAAAAATTTTAATCATACACAAAATTCTGTGTTGAAAAATCATGAATCAGATTTAAATTATACCTCTATATTTATATATACATGGAATTCTGTTTTTGTAAATGTTTTAAAGAATCAGGGTTTAAATATTACATTTATGTAAACATGAAACGCTGTACTTTGTATATTTTTAAGAATCATGATTTAAATTATTCATTTTTTTACTTTGTAGAAGTTTATATATATATATATATATATATATATATATATATATATATATATATATATATATATATATTTATATATATATATATAAACTAGTCTCCAATGCCATTTGTATGAACTCCCTATCCACTGTGTTATAATACATATTGCAGAGCCATGGTTTGTTCCAGTCTTTACAGTTATTTGCAATACTTGCAAGCATATATGCATCTTGTTTCTCTATGAAAGGTATACAGCTGATTTTTCATTCAACATTTTTATGTCTTAAGTGCTAGAGTCTTCTAAACTAATTCTCTATATTTACATATTTTATCTTTATATAAACATGTTTTTCGGATCAAAGGTTTTGCTCATACTGTACTCAATTAAATTATAAGTTAAATGCACTTGAATACATTAAGTTTTCTATAAAGCTTCAAGAGATTGTGAACAGGCTGATCAGCTGCTCCTTTAAAAGTGAACTCCTAAAGGAAAGCATAATGTCTCTCATTTTATTAATATGTACATGTTTTAGAAAATTTTGGGAAAAAATAAGGCTGACTTATCGATGAACCATGACTTACATTAAGTGAACTTAGCTCTTTGCCCATGTAGGGCTTAAAGTAGCCTGGGAATAGACTTTCAGATGCAACATTTAAAGCAATTCTATTGGCATGTCTGTAATCATAAATTCATGCATCTTGAGACAGGTACTGTGATTTGGGAATTGGACCTGTCAGTAACCTAAGAGAATGAATCAGTTCTACCAGACTTTAATGAGGAAAGCTAAATAACACAGCCTTATCACAGATTATGTATATATTATTCTTTATGTCACTCTATCAAGAATAAGATATTTAAAAGGGCTCTAACTTTTTTTATTGTCACTTGCATCTGATATACAATAAACAAGTTTGAGGTAATGATTTAATACATGTAATTTCAAGTACAATGTCTTAAACAGAAATGACATATTTTTTCATGTGAAATTTAATTAGATCTTGATGGCTTAACAGAAGTTTCACAATATGCCTGTATAAAATAGCACTATAAATGTGGTATCAGTCCATTAATATCCTTGACCTTTTATTGAACTGCCCGGTAAATCATCTTCGTGAGATCCAGAACTCTGAAATGAAGAAAGAAAATAAATGTCAGATTTAATACTAATACCTTAAACCTGAGGCTTGTTGGTCACTACTAAGTACTAATACCAATGTATATGTGAATGAAACCCCCTAAACTTTAATGCATGTTTTGAACAACTGTAATTCAGCCTTTGGCTCATGTTAGCTACAGTTAACTTATTAATGTAAGGATGTTCATCATATACATGTAAATAAATACTGCAGATAACTTGCAAAAGAGAAAAAAATATCTATTGCAGATAACTTGAGAAAGAGAAATAAATATCTATTTCCAAAACTAATGGTTTTGATGAATTAAGCAAAGGTATTTTTTTCACAAAAATTAAGACACATTCTGTTAACAGTGGCATGTATCTGTGATCAGTGTTGTCATTTTGTTCTTGGTTCTCATCAACATGAATTTTTGAAGACTTCAAATTATACAACTTTCAGATTCACAATTCAAGCAAATTTTACCTTTTGAACAAACTGGGGATTAACAGCAATTTCTCTGTCCATTTCTCGTAGCTTTTCCTCTAACAGAATGGCTTTCTGCATCTACAAGACAGAACAAATTCTGGTTACAATGACCTAGACAATGGGGAATTAATTTCTGTTTATTGAAGGTATGTTGTAAAACTTGAGTAGAACATTGAACTCCACACTCATGTTGGATCAAAGTGCTGGAACACTTTCTCTTAAGTAAAAGTTAATAGAATAAATAAATTATGTAATTTGTTGCTATCTGCATCATAAATTATTTTCGGTTAATCTTCTTTTAGTAGCCTTCGCAACACTCATCAGAATAAAAAACATAGGTAATCATAGATTGCAAAGCTCACCTCGACCAATGTTATCTATAAGTTAAGCAAATCTCACATCATATTTTTTTCTAGTTAGTGTGCATCCCAAGATCAATATCCATGCAAGTTTCATTTAAGTAGAACTTATAGTTACTTGGAAATTGACCTGCTCTAAAAACTTTGACCTGTTCACTAATCAAGAAAATGTTACATGTAGTCAGTTCCAACATCCAAAGCAAGTCTTGAAGTGTCCATCCTTAGATGCATCATCCAAGCAAGTTTAATCATAACAAGCCAAATCATTATAGAGCATTTCCAAAACCATTACCCTGGTCACTCATGTGGAAAATGTAGGTCAGATTCAACATCTAAAGCAAGTTTGGAAGTTTCCATCTTTAGATACATCATCCATGCTAATTCGGTTAAAGAATGGCTAAAATTTACTCATTTTGAAAATATGGGTCAGATCCAGCATCCAAATCAAGTGTGGTAGTGTCCATCCCTAGATGCATCATCACGCAAGTTTGGTCCAGGTAGAGCTTATAGTTACTTGGGAAGGGACCTGCTCCAAAAACTTTAACCTGGTCACTCATCTAGAAAATGTAGGTCAGATCCAGCATCTGAAGCAAGTCTGGTAGTGTCCATCCCTAGATGCATCGTCCATGCAAGTTTGGTCCAGGTAGGGTTAATACATGTAGTTACTTGGGAATGGACTTGCTCTTAAAAGTTTAACTGGTACGCCGATTAGGGGTATAGCATAAGCTCATCTCGATTTCGTCATGGTGAGCTAAAAAATTCCATACAACTTCTCTTCTCATTATGATCTATTATTCCACATTTCATTTAAAATGAATCTTTGAAGATAAATTACATTTACCTCTTTATCTAACTGAAGTAGCATGCCAGCACTTTTGTACTGCTCTGGGTTGTCATGGAAACTGACCATACCATCTTTTTGATTAATAGAGGCAAATATTTCACCATCTTCTATCTGTCATAAAAATAAATGTATTCGTTTCATATAAAAGTAATGGACACATACATGTAAATATATCTTGATATTTCTACAGATAAAAAAATTTAATTGAATCGTGCTTGCTAAATACGTCTAACATAGTTTCTTACCATGTGTAGAACATATTTTTCTGCTTCTTTAGGACTGGCTAACTGTACTCGGTTAGCCATATCCGCCAAAGACAGTGTTAAAAATGTCTGAAAAATCAAAATAAACAAATGATTGAAATTTCACCTTCCTTATTCATCATTTGCAATGATTTTTTTTTATTTCAAATCATTGTTCAAATATGGCATTTAATCATTGTGAAAATGCATTCCTTTGAAATACATCAAAATCAACTACACATGTACTGGTAATAAGAATTTGTACTACATTGTACAAAGAGTTTTTTTGAAAAAAAAAACCGTTCTTGAATAGAACTGCTTTTCTACATACATGTACATGTAAATGCTGTATATACTTATCATTATACCTTTGTTAATCTTTGAATATTTTTCTTGTATAGTGAGGTGATACACTGTTTTACCAAGCCCATATTATTATCCTAAAAAAGACATTTCATATTCAACCATCTAATTTTACAATGTTCATTAGTGATTAATAGTTTTAATTAAACATTTACCAATAAAAAAAGTTATTCCTAAAGTTAAAATAACATTATTTCTAAAAAAAAAAAATACTTTATGCCTTTAAAAGTATAATGTCATGAAAACTAGCTGTACCCTAGTGAAGGCCTCCTGGTACTTGTTTACAGTGGCTCGTAATTCGGAGGGCGTGTTAGATCCATAAGTCAAAGCCAGATCATGGTACGCCTGACAGAGTGGCTGGAATCAACAATTATGATTACTACACAGATATCTTGTAAGTACATCTACCTGATCAATTAATAATGCGCAATACAATTTTTTTTTTCATTTTTTCATCTCAAACAACTCAAATGTCTAAAGAGACTTAATTGTAATACCAGGAGATGAACTGTTTGCCTTACCTTTATGTATCTTGTGACTACTTGTGATATATATTTTGGTAGATTTGGAACCTGCAATGTAACACTGAAATAACTAAGATATTCTGATGGAAATACTAAAGCTTCCTTGTACTACACAATAGAATTTTCAACAAATGACCTTTACATGAAATTCTTAGGGAAAAAAATTTAGATCAGAATC